AAGGCGTATGACACCTGGCGTACGGCATTCATGGTGTGCGTAGATCAGCAGCCGATATCAGCCGAGTTGAAGCTCCTCCAACTCCCCCAGTGCCTCACGGGCCCGCCGCTGAAGAGCATTGAGGCATTTGGCTACTCAGCGTCCGCGTACTCAGCCGCAATAAGTCGCAGCACAGCACATGTATGGCGGCCTCCATTGTAAGAAGGCTGTCCACATGACCGCACTCTCGCAGTTTACGCCCATCCGGGATTGGGGCACTGCCGCAGAGGTCAAGGGATTTGCTGACTTGCTGCAAGTCGCTATCATAAACCTGCGGGATGTTGGGCTACATGGCGAATCGGCTACAGGGACATTCTGCACTCAATTGCAGCAGAAATTGGACCCGGAGTTGTTGACCAACTACAACAGATGGCGATGTGACACAGGTGCTGAAGTCCATACCGAACCTACTGCAGTGGGTGCTGCGCGAAGCAGAACGCCGCACGGAGGCGGAGGAGATGCTGCACAGCATCGCCAACACAACACTGGACTCCGGGTCACCGCCATCCGCCAAGCCTTCCGAGTTCGGACCAGCCACGGCGTCTGCGCTAGCAGTGTTGTCCACCAACCCTTGTGCATACTGCTCACAGGATCACGCTGCCGCACAGTGCTCCGTCATTACTTCACTCGCGAGAAGGAAGAAATCGTGAAACGGGACGGGGCGTTGCTTCGTGTGCCTCAAGCAGCACCACATGGCCCGCAACTGTCAATCAATGTTTAAGTGCGCCAAGTGCAGCCGGCGACATCACGTCAGCATCTGCGATGGCACGCCAGCGCTTGCTGGCAAGGGCAAGTCTTTCGGCACGGCCACCAAGTCCGTTCAGCGACGTGCGTCGCCAGCCAAGGACCCCTCGACTGAAGCGGGCACTTTTGCAGCTGTGGCCATGGTCGGCAATGGTGGAGCTGGACACGATCATGAGTTAGGTTAAACTTGTTACTGGATCAGGCACAAGTCTCCTTTAAGTTATTTTGTGCACCGCAGTAGTCTTATTTGAATTTCCTTGTTTCCTTGTTTCCTTTGTTTGTCTGGGTTTCGACCTTACACTGATTGCAATATCACGTATGAGTTGAGGCATGCATGGTTCTGATCGACTCAACTTGGTGGAGTGTGAGATATTGCATACGATCAACAGACAGCCTCGTTCTATAGCTCCCTCTCTCTCTCTCTCTCTCTCTCTCTCTCTCTCTCTCTCTCTCTCTCTCTCTCTCTCTCTCTCTTTCTTTCACTCCCCCCCCCCTCTCTCTCTCTCTCTCTCTCTCTTCTGATCTTCCTTTCTCCATTCTTGATTATCACCAACTCCTCTCTTGCAGTAACCTGAGTCTACAGTCTTCTTCTTGTACCTTCTTGTTTCCTACGCTATCTCTTTTCGCCGTACTCTGGCTACATTGCTGGTGATTCGCCATGGCATTGCTCGTACCTTGATTTGCTGGCCGCATGCTCAAAACTGCTTTGTTCTTTGAGTTTTCTCCATCGAGACAAGAGAGAAACATTTTCCTTACAATAATGAATCTTCGAGTCTAATTCTAGAAATTGTAAAGGGAGAGAGAGAGAGAGAGAGAGATAGAGAGGGAGATGTTTGCGTGTGTCATTCAGAGAGCGAGAGAGAGAGAGAGAGAGAGAAAATGATAGAGAGAGAGAGAGAGAGAGAGAGAGAGAGAGAGAGAGAGAGAGAGGGGGGGGAGAGGGAGAGAGAGAGAGAGATAGAGAGTGAGTGAGAGAGAGAGAGAGAGAAAGAGAGAGAGAGAGAGAGGGAGAGAGAGAGGGATAGAGAGAGGGGGAGATGTTTATGTGTGTCATTCAGATCTTGTCCGGTATCGTTACTTTGAGAATATCTGAAAATTGCAGATTTGCTTGCTTCTCTTCCGAACGGCATATACTTGGTAAATTGTGTGTGTGCCTGCATGTGTTTGTGAGTGCGTGTTTGTGTGTGTGTGTGTGTGTGTGTGTGTGTGTGTGTGTGTGTGTGTGTGTGCGTGTGTGTGCGTGCGCGCGCATGTATGAGTGTGTGTATGTGTGTGTGAGTTCTTTATGCTCCTTGGGAGCAGGTTACACTTTGCGTGCGGGCATGCGTGCGTGCGCGCGTGCGTGCGTGTATTGTTGTTGAGCTGTAATTTGTAGAAAGGAAGAGGACTTAATATTATGGATACACAGACTTCCGAGTTGGAAGGCTCTCGTTTGGCGCTACGGACATGTGTTGAAGCTAGTTGTCAGGACGTCGAATGTCTCAGTACTTTGTCAGCTTTGTACCTAGTTGTTGCACTTTCTGGCTGTATATAGTATCTGGTTACAGTGATGGAGAGTTGCTCTTAACTAACTCATATCCATATTTCCTCTTCCTTTCTACATATATTATTATTGGCTCAACATCCGAGTTTTAAGCTGGAATTTGGTTGTCAATTTTTGAGCTGTGACGAAAAGGGAATAGCAGCTGCCTTCAACAGCCATGGTTGTATGGTGTAGACCAGGCCATGGCTGCAGCAGGATGTCTCTGAGAGGAGTTGCGACCCGCTGAGAGTAGTTTTCACACAGAGCACTAAAAATTGAGTTGGAGCAGGCGCTTGAAATGTTGTAGAATGAAGTCCAAAGGGAATTGAATGAAAAGGAATTTGTGCGTAGCAACGCGGAACGTCCGCTCTTTGGTGGAGGATATTTGAGACGCCAGAGTCTGTCGTGCTGTTCCGTCCATGACTGCGACTGCTGTTGAGAGGAAATGAATTTCAAAAATTCTTCATCGCAGCCATGCAGGAAACAAAGTGGTTCAGACGTGACATTTGACGTGTCTGCGGCAGCACCTTTCTACATTCGGGATGGCCTCTGCCTGGCGGTGTTGAAGCGGCGAGATGCAACGAGGGAGCAGGGATAATGATGAATACGGAGTTCATGGTGAAGTGGCTGCGCGGCGGCGAGCAGTGGAGCGTAATCAGCTCAAGGGTCATCATTTCTCGCTTTCTCATCGGCGAAATGGATGAGGTCCTACAGACTGGAAAGAGACGCCCCTCTGATTATTTCAGGACAGCGATCAACGTTAATGCGCCAACGAGGAAGGCCCCTCCGAATGTCAAGAATCAGGTTATGACGGTGCTCTGGACAAAGAGCTCACTTCCCGCCTTGCAAAGCCCTATTGTGTGTTTGGCGCTCTTCGGAAGTCGATCTTCCAGTGTAGTGGTATATCCATCAAGTCTAAGCACCTCGTCTACAAGGCTGTTGTCCTCCCTACCCTCTTCTTTGGAGCAGCGACTTGGCCCATGAAGGCCCGGCAGATGAATCGCCTAAATCTATCTCATCGCTCGTGCATCTGTTCCATCTTAGGAGTATCAAGGAGCAATCAGCACTCCAGTCATCTCACTACTACTGCTCTCGCCCAGAGAGCGCGTCTTCCTGAAGACACTGGCACTCTCCTGCGTGAGTACCGTCCGTGTTGGCTGGGTCATGTTGCCCATATGTGGACTCTGCCTGGATTCCTCAACAAGTGTTGTTTGGGGAGCTTGAGGCAACCAGACCACGGCATGATCCAAAGAAGCGTTGGCGAGACACATTTGTCGGTGATCTGCGGTCACTGGATATTCCAGAGTCCGCGTGGTACCGGTTTGCACAGGATCGCACGGAATGGCGCAGGTGGGTCTATCAACATTGCTTTCTGCTCCCAGCACCGAAGGAACGTTTAGGAGAAGTTGCGATTCGAAGCGTCACCCCGAGCATTGCCCAACTCAGTAGCCTATATTCTCCACTGGAGATAGGGCGTCAAAGTTCAAGTTCAAAGGTGTGTGTGTGTGTGCGCATGTGTGTGTGTGCGCATGTGTGTGTGTGCGTGTTTATGTGTATATGTGTGTGTATGTGTGTGTGTGTATGTATGTGTGTGTGGGGGGGGGGGGGGGGCGTTAAAGTTCAAGGTCAAAGGTGTGTGTGTGTGTGTGTGTGTGTGTGTGTGCGCGTGTGTGTGTGTGTATGTGTGTGTGGGGGGGGGGGAGGGGGGTGTGTGCGTGCGTGCGTTCGTGTGCGTGTGTGCGCGTGCATTCATGTATGTGTGTGTGTGTGTGTGTGTGTGTGTGTGTGTGTGTGTGTGTGTGTGTGTGTGCGTGCGTGCGTGTGTGTGTGTGTGCGTGCGTGCGTGTGTGTGTGTGTGTAGGATGGTGTGTATGCATGTGCGCGGGTTAGGCTGTGTACATGTGGGTGTGGGGTTCTCACATAATTCATGCACAAGATACTTCTGTAACGTTGAAATTGTGGGCGCAAGCTATGCGATCGAGTCCACCAACTAAACTCGATTTTGTGCAGTCAGACGTGCACAATCCAGCACAAAACTGACAAGGAGTACTGAGACATTCCACGGTATGAAAGTCAGCTTGAGCACTGCTCGATATTTTTTCATTAACCCATTCATCCTTTGATGCTTTCTTCAACACGCATTTGATATTGGAATACACTTGGATGGCGAACGAAGAATAAAAAAAGAAATAAATTAGTTTCAAATAAAAACACCAAGGAACTACAAGTGTCGCTAAAATCTCCACTAACACAGACTACAACTAACTGCCAATAAGCTCTAACATGTCAGGCACTTTCTCCTCGTACAGATTGTCATTATCACTTAGAACCTTCCAAGTTGGAACGGTCTGTTGGAGTGCGCCTCCAAGATGTGCTAGAGCTGACAGCCAGTTAGTTTCAAAAACGTCAGTATCGTCGGTCCGTGTCATGTAATGCTATCGCATGATCTGATTGTCAAGTAGCTTGTGGTGTTAGTGGACACTGTAGCATAGCTTGTAGTTACTTGGTCCTTTTTAATCAATTTTTAGCCTGATGATGGCGCAAGCATGAATCTCGGAGGTACAGCAATACAACTTTGTTCCACCTTATTTGCACGGCACAGTTTATATTTTCATGTCTGTAGCATCTAACGATGCTGTAAATGAATTCCAATTCCATTCGATTTGCTGTTTTATTGTGATATATGCCCTTACAGATACATCTCTAACAACAAGCTAACAAAATTGTCAGCAGATATCTTTAGAAACAACACTGCCTGGAAAGAAATGTAAGTAACCTGCACTTTGACCTGATTGTGACGAAATGCTGAAGCGTTCTTGAAAGTTGTTTTAAGAGTCAATGTGTAACGACCGATTATTACCCGACATGGTCAAAAATCCGATTTCGCTCAAAGTTGGCTCCTTTTATCCATAGGTGGACTTCAGTTACACACGATGACAGTTCAAAAACACTTCTGATACATGCCGAGGTTAGCTGTATGCTCAGTCTATACATTCTTGATCTTATCTTCTTCTCTTTCTTTTTCTAAAAGTGTCTCCTTCTCATTTTTAAATGTTTTACTGCCAGAATCCCCCACCACCCAGCTCCCCCATTATCACCCAGCTCCCCCACCACCACCCAGCTCCCCCACCATCACTGAATTCCTCGCAGGTCAGCTTGCCATGTCCTCACTGTTTTGTTTTCTCTGTTTCTTCTTCGTTCGCGATTTGTCATCTGTGTATGCTGGTTCTTTTTTCAGTTTCTCTTTTGTTCACCTCCCAGTCACTTCTCATTCTACCTAAGTGTACCCTTCCCCTAGTCCACTGCTCTCACGTCCTCCCTTCGATTCTGTCCATGCTCTTGTGTTTTCTATTTCATGTAGTCTGTCCGCCGTTCCATTTCTACTTCGTTGAATTTTTTGTTTTGTTTTTGCTTTTGTTTTTTTGGCTTTTGTTTGTTTATCATTTAGCTTCCTTTTTGCTTGTACGAATAGTGTTCTTGTTTCGTTTCCCCATAATTTGTTTCTCCCTTTATGTTTTCGTCTTGAGGCGTTGGCATAATCAGTTTGGCACATCCGAACCTGGGCAACCTCAACCCAATGGAGGCCCCAGCAAGACGCACATGCTTATAATAATAATAACTGCCAGAAGTCGTCTTCATATAAGGAGGCAGATGTGCCTGTTTGTTGTACGACTTTAAATAAATCCAACCAACTAACCAAACAACTCCGTTCCTTAGATATGGCCCAACAATTAACGAGAACCACGCACTGAAACACCTTGACTTGAGGTGCAATAACGATGGGTCATTGCTGCTCACAACGTCTCTAGTCTTTCCTTATTCTTTTAGAGCTGGTTATGTGAACATCAGGGCATAGCTTAAGGATTTCATTTAGCTCGGACAAATGTCCTTCTGTTTTGAAATCTGTCCGGACATGCCCGGACATTTTCCACAACACATTTTCAGGGTGTTTTTTTTAGTAGTAGTACAGTGAAAGAGTGAAGAATAAAAGATGACATCTTCCACTCAAGAGCGAACAACTGCACTAGCAGTCCAACCCATCGATTAAAGTGCGAAGTCGACACCAACGGTCGAAAGTGTGAATTGACTGTAGCAACAACGCGTTGCTACAGGCGGATCAAGTAAATATAGTGAAGTCTACGCCTGAGACTACGGTGTACGTGTTAGTTGTACGATATGCAAGTCGCATTTGGCACGAAGCTCCGAAGAAAGTCCAACACTGCATCAAAAAGGTCGAAAGGTCGCTGCTCTTTTTTTTTACTTTTTGACCAGACACTATGTCCGGTGAAATTGAAAACGTCCAGTCAGTGGCCGAAAATGGCCGGAAAATGTCCGATGTCCGGCCGTTAATCTATGCCCTGGAACATAGCAAAAAAAATTAAAAACAACAACAACAACAACACATGACGTCACCTCCCGACCTGCTTTCAAACAAGAAATCTGCTCACTGCTGATTAACTCAATCTGCTCCTGCAGCGCTCACCCTCTCCCATACTTGTAAAGTTCAAAGTGATGTAAATCACTTTCCAACTGTTTAACCCACAATCTCACCTTCTCATAAATTTATCTCTTATTGGCGATGGTGCCATCGTGAGAATAAAGAATTCAACACAGCGCAGCCAAACCAACTATGTTCGCGTACACAGATCCAAGTTACCTAGTATTGTTGAGCCGTCCAACTTTCGACTGGCGACTTGCTGAGCCCCTCGAACGAATCGATGAATTCAACTTGTCCTATTACCGGCCATTGCGAAGGCCATCTTTATGGGCCAGTAGCAGCAAGGCAGCAGCGAGACTACGTTCTGAAATTTGGGGGTAGACCACCACCATAGTTTGCTTCTACATGTCCTCAAGCGCCAATAAGTGGTCTTGAATGAAGTTATCTGTTAAAAGTCACATGGGAAGAATCGATTTTCGAGCTCCCCAGCGGCAATGCTCTAGCCGAATCCAACCTTGTGGCAGAAAAGCACACATGGAGAACCTGCATTAAAACTTTTTGCTTTGCTACCGGGACTGAGACACCACGACTCTGCACCCTGTTAGCCACCTGCTCCGAAAGGGTCAGTCTTGGCATTGGACAGCTGGCAGTGCAGCAGCATTAAAGACCATGAAGGCATCTATCGCCTCGAATCAGGTATTCATGCAGTTTAGAAAAAAATAAGTTTCCGTGCATGGCACGGTAAGTGAAGTTATCAACTCACCAACAGACTTATATTATGTACTTGCCATAGCGCATCACGTGTACATGCAGAACACGCATTCCGAACTCCCTCGGTTAGGCACGGGACCGGCCGGAGTTTCCGCATTACTCCAGCTCTCGATGCTGTTTGTCCTTTATCTTTACTGCGCCGACAGTCAGATTTGCTTGACAACCTTGGCCATTTTTTATAGCCTAGTCCGTGGAAAGACTTTCATGGCTTCGTTGTTGTGTGGCGATGACATTATAATTTGTTTTCTTTATTGCTATTTTACAATAACTTGTTGTATAGGGAAGAAGTGTTGAGGCTGTCTGCAGTTTCATAGTATTTACACAATTGGGTGAACTCACCCATTCCACAATTCTCTGCAAATCTGAACCATTCCATTAATGGAATGGAATGGTTCAGAATTTTTTTTAAATTCCATTTAATGGAATGGTTCAGATTTGCAGAATATTGTGGAATGGGTGAGTTCACCCAATTGTGTAAATATTGTTGTATAGGGTCTGTGATAAGCAAGGAATATATGCAGTTGGTGCCAAACTCTAATGTGGACTGAATTGTCAAAAAAATACTGCTTATCTGCTTTGCATGACAAATGCTCCGACCTTCCTGTTGACATTTACGCATACTGCATCCACTTGGTTTGAGAAAGACAGATGTCCGTCAACCAGTATGCCTAAGTATAGAGCGGAAGCAGATCGGGCTATGTATAGATTATAGGCCGATTAGAGACGTCGGTCGTCTACACCGTCTACACCCTGTATAGACCAATTGTGAGGTTTATAATCTATTTATCGTCTTCTCCACAACTTTACTACTTTGTCTTTACCTTACGACAAGTAGTACACTCATACCTCATTTATCCGGGCAGTCCGGGACCTTGCACTGCCCGTAACTTTGAAATGTCCGTAACTCCGAATCATATACATCTTGATGGGGAAAAGGCCATCGATATGGCATATGACGTCAATATTTCTTGACAAAAGAGTGTAATATTTCCCCTGAAACTCGCCCAAATAGTGCCCGGTAGACCGAAGTGCCCGTAACTTCGGGGTCCGGATAACCGAGGTACGAGTGTATACGTATGTACTTCTCTGACACTGACACATGACCAGGAGACAAGTGTTCACGATAGCTAAACTCTGTAAGTAACTGCTTCTTACGAGGAAGCAAAACTAAATCCCTGATGCGAGTCCAAATGGATCCCACACTCTTTTTTTATAACAAAAATCAGATTTTTGATTCCTAACTTGGCAAAAATCATAACCTCCCACCACTTCTCTTCATAACTCTTTTTTTGTATTTTTTTCTCTTTAGAAATTTGTCTGGAAATCAAATTAACAGCCTGCCTGATGGGATATTTGATGGCATACGAGGATTACAAAAACTGTAAGTGCACAAAACATTCATAGATCTGCAGTTTAACTAATGAGCCAGCGCAATAGGGCTTGAAAGTGCTACTTCGCAGCATAGCAACAATTTCAAAAATTCAAAAATCGGATCCACTTGAATCCAGTTTTTGTATGGATCCAACCACATTTCAAGCCGTCTTACTCTCAGCAAGGTGATGTAACCAGTGAAACTGACTGATTTGGCTACTGGGGGCGGGGTTACAACTGGTGGCGAAGTAAAAATCACCCCTGCATACGACTTGAGTGGGTTGCTATGCACCCACATACTGAGGCAATAGCAAAGTCACACCTTAGTGGATCCAAAATAGAAATCTGATGTCAACTTAGTACTCCCTAGCCGTTTTTGACGTCATCTCTTTCAAGCCCTATGACGAGATAGAAAAGAAAAAGAAAACGGTAGCGAGAGAGAGAGAGAGAGAGAGAGAGAGAGAGAGAGAGAGAGAGAGAGAGAGAGAGAGAGAGAGAGAGAAGAGAGAGAGAGAGAGAGAGAGAGAGAGAGAGAGAGAGACAGAGAGACAGGGAGACAGACACAGAGAGAGAGAGAGAGAGAGAGAGAGAGAGAGAGAGTGATATTGCATACGATCACCAGACAGCCTCGTTCTATAGCTCTCTCTCTCTCTTTCTCACTCTCTCTTTCTCTCTCTCTCTCTTCTCTGATCTTCCTTTCTCCATTCTTGATTATCACCAACTCCTCTCTCGCATTAACCTGAGTTTACAGTCTTCTCCTTGTACCTTCTTGTTATCCCGCACTATCTCTTTTCGCCGTACACTGGCTACGTTGCTGGCGATCCACCGTGGCAACGCTCGTACCTTGATTTGCTGGCCGCATGCTTCACTACTTTGTTCTTTGAGTTTTCTCCATTGAGACAAGAGAGAAATATTTCCCTTACAATAATGAATCTTCGAGTCTGATTCTAGAAACTGTAAATTGGTCCTTGGAGCTTCTCAGACAATGGCCGATGCAGTGAAGCTGAAGCTCGCCAAAGCGAAGGCGAAGGCAACCTTCACGAACCTTCGCCGCGGACTACTCGTCGCCATCGACGAACCAGATGTAGATAAAGATAAGATCAAGAACAATCTTCTTCTACTTGAGAACGGCCTGAACGCCGTGATGGAGATCATCACCGAGTTATCCAGTGCATGTAGTAGTACCAGTCAGGACAGTGTGTTTCTTGATGGTCTCTGCAAAGATGCTGATGATCTGGAAAAGCAGTATACGGATGCTGTCACTCGTGCGAGTACAGTTTTAGCTAGCATGAGCCGTTACAATAGTACGTGCACCAGTGAGGCGACGGGTGTGCGGTACTTACGCAACCATGATCGAGTACGAGAGTATTTGGAGTCTGTGTCTGCGGCGAGGACAGTGCGTGCTGCACAGGATCAGTTGCAGTTGCGAAAGCAACAGGAATCCACACACATGCGCAGTAGCACCACATGTAGTGCGAGTGACAGTGTGTCTTTGGGTGCATCTACAGCTGCTCTGCCCGTAGATCTACTAGTACTAGTAGACCTATGCAGGGCCAGGCCGTCCCGTCATATGAGTACCATGAGTACGGCGTTGACCAAGGTCCGCCCGACATACATGTCAACGGGGACCCATATGCGGCGCTCACTGATGACCTCGAGGTCAAGCCTCCACGTGGCCATGGGCTGATGGTCACAGCTACAGAGCGCCTTTCAAATCTGAGTTCAACATCGCCGGCTCAGCCGCCGTGCTCGGAGTTTTCGAACACCTTGTCGCAGCCGCTGTATGCAGAGCTTTCGAACTCTATGGCTTCGCAGCCGCCGCCGTGCACGGAGTTTTCGAATTATCGGCCGCAGCCATGGCCATCGTACACGGCGTCTTCGAGCTCTCTGGCTTTGCAGCAGCCGCCGTACATGCAGTTTTCGAACTCTCGGCCGCAGCCATGGCCATCGTACACGGCGTCTTCAAGCTCTCCGGCTTCGCAGCAGCAGCTGTTCACAGAGGTTTCGAGCTCTGTGCCGCAGCCGTCCTACTCGGCGCCACAGCAATCGTCCACGCAGGTCAGGCAGCAGCTGCTGAACACAGCGTTTTCAAGTAGTTCTCTGCTGCAGCCGTCCTACTCGGTGCCATAGCAGTCGTCGACGCAGGTCATGCAGCAGGCTCTGTACCCAGTGTTTTCCAGTAGTTCTCTGCAGCAGCCGCTGCACGCAGCGCCGCAGCAGTCGCTGTACACAGTGTTTTCATGTTCCGCACAGCAGCCGCTGCCCGCAGCGCCGCAGCAGCTGCCGCACGCAGCGCCTAAGCAGCCGCCGCACGCAGCGCCACAGCTGCCGCCGCAAGCAGCGCAACAGCAACCGTCGTACGCATTGTCGATGCTACACCAGACTCGGAGCAGCTTCCGACCATACAGTCAAAACTCGACGCTGTCATCGCAGTCAACGCGTTTAGCTGGTACGCCGCAATTGTCGCCACCTGCACTGACTCCCTCACCTGACAGTTACTCAGTTCAAAGTCCACACAGCGCGGCACCATCTGATATCTATCGCCACATGAAGAAGATCACCATCCCAACTTTCAGTGGTAACAAGAAGGCGTATGACACTTAAAATATTAAATAAATTCGACGGGTTCGCAACCCGGGCAGGTCAAGAACAAGGAGTCGTACAATTCCCTGGTCAAGAACCACCTTTCCGCTTCCGCGGGACGCCACCACCCCATGATCAGGCGTCAGATGCGGCTCCTAAACGGTGGGGAAGGATAGATCAGATCCACCAATCAGAGGCCAAAGGCCTAAATCCCATTTGCCACATCCACCTGGCGTACGGCATTCATGGTGTGCGTAGATCAGCAGCCGATATCAGCCGAGTTGAAGCTCCTCCAACTCCGCCAGTGCCTCACGGGCCCGCCGCTGAAGAGCATTGAGGCATTTGGCTACTCAGCGTCCGCGCACTCAGCCACAATGAGTCACCTGGAGCACATGTACGGCGGCCTCTGTCGTAAGACGGCTGTCCACATGACCGCACTCTGGCAGTTTACGCCCATCCGGGATTGGGGCACTGCCGCAGTGTTCAAGGGATTTGCTGACTTGCTGCAAGTCGTGATCATAAACCTGTAGGATGTTGGGCTACATTGCGAATTGGCTGTAGGGACATTCTGCACTCAATTGCAGCAGAAATTGGGCACGGAGTTGCTAACCAACTACAACAGATGGCGATGTGACACAGGTGCTGAAGAGTCCGTACCCCACCTACTGGAGTGGGTGCTGCGCGAAACAGACTTCCGGACGGAGGTGGATGAGACGCTGCACAGCATAGCCAACACAACACTGGACTCCGGGTCACCGCTATCCGCCAAGCCCTCCGAGTTCGAACCAGCTACAGTGTCTGCGCTAGCAGTGTTGTCCACCAACCCTTGTGCATACTGCTCACAGGATCATGCTGCCGCACAGTGCTCCGTCATTACTTCACTCGTGAGAAGGAAGGAAATCGTGAAACGGGACGGGCGTTGCTTCGTGTGCCTCAAGCAGCACCACATGGCCCGCAACTGCCAATCAATGTTTAAGTGCGTCAAGTGCAGCCGGCGACATCACGTCAGTGTCTGCGATGGCACGCCAGCGCTTGCTGGCAAGGGCAAGTCTTTCGGCACGGCCACCAAGTCCGTTCAGCGACGTGCGTCGCCAGCCAAGGACCCCTCGACTGAAGCGGGCACATCAGCAGCTGTGGCAACGGTCGGCAAGGGTAGAGCTGGACACGATCATGAGTAAGGTTAAACTTGTTACTGGATCAGGCACAAGTCTCCTTTTCAAAAGTTATTTGTGTGCCGCAGTAGTCTCATTTGAATTTCCTTGTTTCTTTCTTTCCTTTGTTTGTCTGGGTGTCGACCTTACACTGATTGCAATATCAAGTATGAGTTGAGGCATGCGTGGTGCTGATCGACTCAACTTGGGGGAGTGTGAGATATTGCACCCGATCACCAGACAGCCCCGTTCTATAGCTCCCTCTCTCTCTCTCTCTCTCTCTCTCTCTCTCTCTCTCTCTCTCTCTCTCTCTCTCTCTCTCTCTCTCTCTCTCTCTCTCTCTCTCTCTCTCTCCACCCCCCCCTCTCTCTCTCTATCTATCTATCTATCTATCTATCTATCTCTCTCTCTCTCTCTCTCTCTCTCTCTCTCTCTCTCTCTTCTGATCTTCCTTTCTCCATTCTTGATTTCACCAACTCCTCTCTCGCAGTAACCTGACTTTACAGTCTTCTCCTTGTACCTTCTTGTTTTCCGCAATATCTCTTTTCGCCATACTCCGGCTATGTTGCTGGCGATCCGCCATGGCAACGCTCGTACCTTGATTTGCTGGCCGCATGCTTCACTACTTTGTTCTTTGAGCTTTCTCCATTGAGACAAGAGAGAAATATTATCCTTACAATATTGAATCTTCGAGTCTAGAAATTATAAAGAGAGAGAGAGAGAGAGAGAGAGAGAGAGAGAGAGAGGGAGAGAGGGAGAGAGAATCAGAGAAAGAGAGAATGAGAGAAAGAGAGAGAGTAAGTTACATTTATAAAGACAGGTAAGTCTAACAAATGAGGACTGAGACCTCTACAACGGGGTTTTTACGCCTGAAAGAAGGTGCATGATTTAACAAGCAGGTTGTCAGTCTAGATTTTATGCGCAGATGGAGAAAAAATGCCCGGATTTTTTGTAATGAGATGAAAAGCAGAAATAATATGAGATTAAATGATAGCCTGCTCACAACCCCGCACAGCCTTGCGAACTGGGTATGGTGGATTAAGAACCCGGTTCAACGCTCGAGCAAGCGCTCTCCACTCAAGGTGTTCACAGCAACTGATAGGAACTCATATGGGGAAATTATAGACAAGAAATAATAAGAAAGGGTTTGCTCCCCACACCGGAGCTCGCGCTATTCCGCCGACTTTACTTAACACTTGACTGACTCACGACTGCCATCCAGAGCACACGAGAAGTCCATCGAACCTTCGACTCGGCAAACCTGCAAGAAAGCACC